AAGGTGCCTTTTTGACGATATTGCTCAGCGCAGTGAAAATCTCCGAGGCTTCCTATAGCTACAGCAGGTCGAGGCATAATAAGTGCATGACTCTGTCGGGGTATTGCACGAGTTAGCCGCGTGCACATTGGCAGATGTCTCTGTAGATAAAGTTCTAAAGCGAATCCTGGGCCGGATCCACACTGATATCTAAATCACCGAGGCCCATGAAGGCAAGTGGCAGATATTAGTCGAAGCCATGGAAAAAAGCCACCAGTTTTGAAATGGTGATGGCAGTAGTTTCTGCCTTCAAAAGACAAACACAGCATAAACAAAAGTGATAACTGAAAAATATGGTCTATTCACCTCCAATGGTGTTACACCAACTAATTTGAAGAAAGCTTTGAAAACAAGTTTTGTACCTTTTGACCAATAAAGAATATTTGACCAAGCGGCTTTAGTAGCTATCGACTTTGAAAAGTACTATATTGAAAACATTTATTTTAGTTGTGTCACTCTTTGCTAACGGTTTGTAATTTCATTATGTATTTCAGGCGGAATATTCTGAAATAACAATGACGGCATATAGTGAACAAGGTTGTGTGATAAATATTTATCACACTTCAAATCGAACGAAACCGATTCGGTAAGAAATTGTTTTCTTCTATGAAGGCTCTTCCTGTTACTGAACGGTGCTTGTTTTAATTTCAGCGAATAATCTTGGCAAATATCAGATATAAAGGTGTATTGGTTTTGCAGAATGAGGAAATTCTAATCACAACAGTTCGAAATAGATCACTTGGTCGCAAAATGTAGATAGCACTATGAATTCGATGACTGCCCCATGTTAACCAAAGTTATTTATTTAATATCACAAGAGATGTAAAAGCATTATATTTAAAAAATGAGTAAACGTTCATATTAAAATATATGGTGCAGAGCAGCCTCATGTCATGAACCAAGTTGTAAACACCTACGATGTGCATCGACTTACAGTGAACATTACACAACTCCTGTTACAATTTTACGATGAATATTAAGATTCAGTTTCAGAAAATCAACGTTTTGGAAATATCTGAGCCTGTAGATTCATATCTTGCCTGGTGACCCTCACAATTATAAATACTTCCCAAAATGTTAGATTGTTAGTCAATTTAATATTGCACAGCCGAAATCTAATCAAATTTACGAAAATATATGGGCTCTTGTTCACAAAAAATAAATACTACCAGTTATCGTCTAATTCACCGATAACCATTCGGTCCCGTTTAACTAATTTTAATATCTTGTTGTTAACGTCTAATAAAGGACTGTACGAGTGTGAAAGAGACTCCAATTTAGTTCTTGGAAATAAAGTGTTCTGTAGTCTGAATATAGAAGAATACACATTGAGAATTGTTTTGCTATTTTACTTGAGCTCTCAAATTTGCAGGTCACACGTTATATTTGTACGGTGGAAATCTGCTTTCACTGTGGTAAAATCATCTTCTTTTCAAATTAGAGTGGTTTCATTCCGTGGTGTACAATTTTTAATATAGGTGGTGTTCCAAATATAAAGGCGATCGATTGTGTGAAGTATTCGTTTGAGCGGGTTTGCCTCAAAGACACATCTTTGAAAGATCTGCGTACAATTCAATTACAAAGACCCTTCTACCGAGAAAACCACGTGAGGCATGACTGGCCTTTCGTCGCCGACAGAAACAGTGCAATTTTCGGATTGATGCATTCGTTGCTTTTCCACATCCTCTTTATCAAAAACTTTGTTAGCAGACAAATATTCATCAAATATGTTTTACGAATGCTCCGATTCAACTTTAAGAAGTACTAAATTTTAGAACCATCTTCGTTTCGTTAAATGCGTTTTTGGAAATAAATCGTGTTCTTCTTAACAGATGAAACTCACGAGAGAGGGAATTGATTAATCTTTCTTCCACAGTAATACAAAAATCCGCTGCATCATAAATGAATCCAGTAGAATAAATCTCTTTCGTTCCAGCTTTCACATTGGTAGGATACTGAAATTAAAAGTTGCCAATTTTGTTTCTCAAACCTCACGCGCAATGCTCGTTGCAGTACCTAGTCAAAACGAACAGTGAATTAGTGTTTTTGAATAAAACAGCATTTTTGAAAGAATTGGTCAGATTTCAAAAAGATTTGTTCTCATTTTTTCCGGATATTCATTGTATGAAAGTAATGGCGGGTTTGATTAAATTGCTTAGTTGATGTCATCCTATACCTGGCCATTATAGCATGAACTGGAAAGCTGAGAAGCACTGTGCAGCTGTTTCGACCTCATTCGATCCCATTAGGAGGGCAGCTCCATCGCACTGCTAGTCAGACACAATGAGGTAGAAAAGGATGTTAATTGAATAAAGTAACATTTAAGTATATTTTAACACATCCAGAATATCTGATCTCGATAGTTTTTGACGTGTTCATTTGGGTTCCTAAAAGTGAAATATTCGGCGTACGCTGAGAGATTTTCGTAAATTTAACGTCATAGTTTACTTTGGAAAGCACGCTATGTTGCAGAATCACTTAATTGCGCTTCCCCCTATATGTAGCTCTTTCAAGCCAGATTTCGTTCTTCTCCGTCAACATGCGAGCGGAGTCAATGAGGATTGGCAGCCCATTCTTACGGGCTTGATGTACTCAGGCACTCCCTGTATGAATACTTTGCATGCAGTCTACAATATGAAGAATAGACCGTGGCTGGTAAGTGCTGCATAACTGACACTGAACAGTTTTGTAAAATGTCCCTCCTGAACAAAACTCAGGCAATAAGCGTCTGCGTCATTATTAGGCTCTTATCTGTTTTGGCAGACGTCCGTCAGATTGAAATCGAACAATGCAGACACCCTATCGCCATGCCGTTTGGATTAAGCCTCACGTATTTGATTTGCGAACCTGGTGTGATGTCCGGAAGTCGGAATGTTGGGGAAAACGATGCCACACCAATTTGTATTTCATTTATTGATCAGAACGGGTATTATTTCGTAGTGAGCGCAGTAATTAGTCTGTGGATTATTCTCTCGACGTCATTCATCGAATTTTTTTGCCCAGGCTGCTTAGATAATAATTAATTTGAAAAGGTTCCATGCAGCAGAGAAAAATATAGAGGGGGAAAAAGAGACTCATACTAAAACCATCTCATTCACATTCTAGGTGGGTAGAAAAATTCCAAAGAAAAAAATTAGTATAGATGTTGCTTTGTTCTCCCAGGGTTTTGAATACTGGTTGCTTCACTTGCAATGACAATTTACCTCTAAAATCGTACAATTCACTGAAGTGTTTGGTTACGGTTGTCGTGGAGTATGTTACTGGTAATAATTGAATGTATAAAACCAGTCCACTACACTGGTTCTTTGTTGTTAGATGCTATCGAGGCAAACGTTAGGGCTTGAATTTTGTCACCGTTTCAACAATGTTAATGAATCAAATGATAAGTAAGGATTATGCATTGTCATAGGTTTCCATTGATTTTTTATTTGCCTTTGAGGGTTTATTTTTGTCTAAATATACTGTTTCTTTGGATTTCACTTCAGAGTCATAAGCAATTTTGGAATCACTTGGAAGTTGTCCAATTTCTTTTGTTTTGGCATACATGAGCTTCTTGATTCGCCATATACTTAGGCTCCTTAGGACTAAGCGTGTCATTTTAATACGATCACATGCAATAGCTGGTGTTTTGCATAATACTATCGGTGAAAAATTTACTAACTAATGTGCATTCATAATAACTTGCATTAACATGATTCTGTTTGCACCCATCAAAACAGTTTGCTCATCTCTTACTGTTGCGCAATCGTTTGGGCAAAGAAACTTTCCCACTCATCAATCAGGTGTATTACACAAGCCACAAAGAAATGGTGAGTTAACTTCATCTTGTTTCATTCAAACAAATCCTCTGGTTTGTCGGCACATTATTATCCTGGTGCTCACTTACTTTAGTTGATGCAGTCAATTAGAAATCCAACGCGTTATTCCAATAAAAGTTACGGAAGGTGTTTTTCGCACCTGACAACAGGTGTTCCACTTTTATAATCCGAGATAAGACTGTTTCAACGTGAAGTCAATCTTTGATAAGGCGGTCTTGTTCCAGTAGCAGTGGCGGAAGAGAATTATCTATTTATGACGAGCTGTATCTTATCAGCTACCCAGTGGGTAAGTGAGTAGTATGCTTGCTTCACATCTGTGCATTTGTAGTCTCACCGTCATCAATTGGGTTGAAAGACTAGCGCTAATGATAAAACCCATGAAGCTAGAAATTGCTGATCACTATCCCCGAGCATTTCTGCTCTCTCTCCAAACGACGAAATTACTGTGTTCATTGCGTTTGGTGAGTTACTCTTGTGCCGCATAATCCAAATAAGTGACCCAACAGACATTATTATTATTCAACTCCGTAGGCGCAGTGATAAGCTCAAAAATTTTGTTTTAATTGTTTACCTTTCAAGCAGGCATCTAACCTTTGATAAACGTCTGTGATAATAAAGTTATATTATTGCCTATTCGAATTCAATTTTCATTCTGCCTGTTGATTTACTGCACTTCAGATCACAGCCCCTGCGTTTCCCACAATCATCAAAGTCGGCTTGGGACACGGAGGTGAAGGAAAAGTGAGTTGGACTGAACCAAGGATTGAGTCATTTTTTAATGGGTCCAGTGGCACTAACAGTTTCCCGCTTTTTATTTAAGTCTGTTCATCATGAGGTACTTTCACAAACTCCTCTGCATTAATGGTTGCATTCCCATAGATACACATTAAGCGATGCATAATTTTTCGACCAATATGTAAATTATTTCGCCAGTCAGAGTATAGAGCGTTATAAATCAGAAAGTGCATTTCTGTGCACATTATTTACGTCAAAAGTGAGCAGCTCAAACGCACGAAAATACACTATTTCCCTGACAAACTGTAAAAGTTAAACATGAAAGGAGCTATAAGATTTCTAACACTATTCTAAGATGTTTATTTTATTTGTTTTCATGTTGAAATGCGTATTTATTCAGCAATCTCGACGTGCTAAATATGCCGGGGGTATCTACAACTATTCTAGAAAAGCATTCCCTTTGTTTAACTACAAGATCACATTTACAGATTGTCTTATACAGTTACCGTTATTATTTTACATATGCAACGCTGGGTTAGTCGTATCGAAAATATTTTTCCTGTTTACTACTTCTGGAGATTTTCGAACTCTTCTGTGCATTTTTGAGCAACTCTTTGTCTGGGGACAGCTTAAAAAAATTGATTATATTATTCTCCTGGTTCAAGAACAGAAATTAATGTCGGTTCTCTTCCTCTGTCTTTTGCGTAGATACTATTGGGAAGAACGAACCATAATAATAAGTTGTTACTGGACGTTTTCATATTGCTCAATTTTCAGTTGTTACTAATGACAACCGAATTGTGAAATACAAATGGTTCGAAACTTCTATTCAGCTCAATTTTATAGGCGCTTTTTCAGTTTTGGTTAAGAATTACTTTGCTGAATAACTATTTGTGACTCAGTCAGACATATACATCGTTGTAGCATTCTCACTCTTCCACCCTCGTTTGTGCTTGTTGGTGCTCTGTTAAGGTTGAGTGTGTAATCTTCTCTGTGAGACACTTTGTGTTTGATTATGCCAGAATAAATTATGGCCTCCACAATAGGATTATCCACACAGTTAGTCACTTATCTCACAAACGAGATGCAATAGCTATCAAAATAAAACAAAACCTTCATTTCGTCGTACTCTGAACCAGGTCTGGACTTGACTCGTGAGTAGATGGACTCTATTTCACCTTCAATCCTCAGTTGCCTTTAAACCATAAACTTTTCAACCAGTATAGTTTCAGTATTTCCCCATATACACTGAACAAATTGCTCGTAAATGCATCCCAGCTTTTGATAAATATTACCTTGATTCCAAAACTTATGTCGCTTGAAAAAGCGATGATAAACGAACCTCCGTAATAAAACAAAATTCCTAACTGCTCAAAATGTGAAGAATACACTATCAGGCTCCCACACTGTGACAAAAAAATGTTGTTCCCCAAAGTAGAGTAAACACGGGATCCTCCAGATACATCATATTTCCTATTCTAGCCGCATTGGAGGTACTCTTGCACAATCCTCCTCTCAATAACAGCACTTTAGCTCTCAAATCCCAATCGCCGACACGTGACCAATCCTGAATAGTACGCATTGAAAATGAGCTTTTAAGTTAATGTTCGTTTCCCTAGAAAACAATAATCCGTAATTTGTCATTTTGGTGTACGGTATGGACGTGGATCTAAAATACTGGAAACGAGCTTGCTTATGGCTTTCTCTTGTTATGTATCCTGCGATACTGTTCAGGAATTCACGAAATTCCTAAATGTGCCAGTTTAACTTAAAAACCGAATCTAGTGAGCCTTTGGAAATAGAAGCAAATGTGTCCGAAAAAGTATTATAGTCATATTTGCGGACTTGGGGCTAGATGTTTTAACTCTAATTTTGTGGAAAGAAGTTCATTCATTTACTCTTGCTAAGGCCTGCATATACTAACCCGTCACTCAGGACCAAAGCCATTTCGTTTATAGCTAGTGTCACTTGACACCTCTGGCCTAGTCACCTTAACGTATTAGTCGGTGAGGGTAAACCTCACTCATTTTCACCTAACGCGAGGACTTACCGTCATGGATACAAACGGATGAGTAGATTTCTGAAGGCAGATTTGCAAAAGACATTCTTCTTTGGTCTTCAAAATCAGCTGAATATATTATAGTGGTTAAATATGGTTTAAACAAGTTAATAAACTGGTAATGTATTAAGAGCACCATCGAAAACCAAATGATTTTATAAAGTTTATTTTTTCCATATACAGAACAAACCAAGAGTTAACTTAAAGCTATGAATCACAGTTGTTTCAAACTAGTTAGGTCTTGTACTACACCACTGAATCAGATCCACCACTAAGTTTATCTTCCATATACGTTGTCTCAGGAACATCATCCATGCTATAATGTCACGATTGCATTGTGTTAGCAGCATAATGGTGATAATTGCGCCAAGCGTCAAGGGAATAATAAATAATTGAGCACATACGGAGTTGCATCATCTAATACTCCATTTTCTATACAGCCACATTGTTTGAACTTGATCTATAAGCATCTGCTTTATTTCACAGGTTTAAGTTGAACAAATTGCATCATCCTGTTTAGAAATTCGGAACACCATTACTTACTTGTTTTTTTGTGTTTTATGTAACTTCTGTTTCTGCTATCCAGGTACTTGAACGTTCGTGTTCACAAGCTGAGATAATGGTTTTATTTTTCAAACATTTCAGTCATACAGCAATTAAAAAATAGTACCAGTAGCCTTTGAATTTCGTTCTGGAAACCCTACAACAGTACAGACTACTACTCTACCTTACTCATTTTACGTTTTAGTTTCCATTTTGTTTAAGTAACAGAACGACTATTTGAATTGCGTTAGCTTAGTGGTTTTATATACTGAAAAACATATTGTCTCTTTCCGCACTCTATCTAGATTCGAGCAGACAATCCAATAGCCTATCAGGACATTACAAGTTTACTGGTGTCGAATAACCTTTACGCCACTTCCGAGCCATTTGTTGATGCAAAGTGTGACATACACGTGCAAAAGATTGGACCGCATTACAAAGCATTTGCGTAAGTGGGAATCTCCTTTAATCATAAAAAGATTTGACAACTGAAGGAAATGTGACTTTCGGAATTTGTTTTGAATTTGTTTTACGTGTTTGAACTTGCCGTCACGCTTGTTTATTTTGCCTGTCTTACAACGGGAAAATGACAATAAACTAGTATGTGGCCTACACTTTATAAGCGCACTAGCGCCCACGCTGATCGAGCAAAATCGATGAACGTTTTGCGCACATTTTATGATTCATGATGTTTCCAGGTGGAAATAACAAGTTTATTTTCCAGTTCTCGTTTGATTTAAGCCTGTTTTTCTGCCGATCAGATTTAAGCGTATAGTAAGATTCCGGACGCGATTGCATTGCTTTCGGGAGGGGGAAGGATGCAGCTGAGTAAACCGTGACAGTTGCTGAGGCCAGAAATGTACGGGTAACAGGAGCGAGACCGATACGAAACGCGACCACTGCTTGGGCTACCGACTTATTCTACCTCTTATCGGCTGCCAAGACCGTTCTAGCGATCGATAGTTCTCGTCCGCCGAAATCGGTGGGACAGACCGGCAACTGTTTGGTGGACCAGCCCTCGTGTACCGGTGGGTCTGCTTTGCACTGTGTGTCTACTTAAGCCCACACGAAGAACTGCTGTGACAATTGGGCCATAGGAGGATGGTGAAACAAACAGACATCGCCTTAGCATCATGTAGTGAGTATGAGCAGCCAGATGTGGGAAAGCTTTTGGAGATGTGCTAAAATGAACTTATTTTGTATAAAGAGTGTAGGGAACAATAATGTCATAATCTTAATAACAGCAATGTCGGCGAATATAATTCTCTACCGACATCACCGTGTTTTAGCATTAAAACATTAACAATAAAACAAAAAAATGGCACATCGTTTTTTCGATACACTCCTAACATCATTTGGTCCTGATGTGAGTAAAATGTAAAGAATACTTTCTAAGTGTTTGGGATAATGACTGCAAGGGATTTGGAACATGATTCCCGGTAATAAGTTGGTATTGATATGGACCATTGAGTATGTTACCCGCAAATCGTCAGTGAAAATCAACCAGTGTCCAATCCAATGCCCATTAATCACGCATACAACATCAGTACAACAGCCTTCATTCAGACACCCCAGAGGAAACGTTACGGAATTCTACATTCCTTTCATTACAAATAATTAATTGACTTCAGTGAATGTCACAAATCGCCTTTTTTAACCGATCATTTTCCCTACGTCTTATAGACGATTTATTGATTTTATCATACGTTATATATATGAAAGCATCATTTTAATTTTAAGCGAATGTGAGAATCATACATATTGCTTTCTAAGTTTTCGATAAACGATAAACTGCATAATCAAACAAGCGACTTACGCAGATGTTTTATAAACACAAGAATAAGTCTGTAGTTGGGCAGAATCGATATTGGTTATCACTTTCACCTGCTCGCATTCAGCTGTAAATGCACATTCGTACGTATGTAAAACGAAGAAAAAAGAGTTAAAACGAGTCATTTGAACAAGGTGTTGGACAAGTGAGTTGCGGGATATGTGTTTGGATAGGAGTTAGGGTCAAGTTAGATGACAAATTTTGATATCGAAGTCAACTGGACCAAACGATGTAGTGAATGTGGTGGAGGGAGAGGGAGCGAAGTTATTGTCACACATTGTGGTAGGGTGGTATCAAGTGTGACATTATCACTGCCACGGTAACAACAGTTGCGTCACGAGTGCTTTTTTGACGCAATTGCGGTTTCAAGCGATGAATAATTATCGCTTCTAAAAATCGCAAAATCCGTAAAATTCGAGGCCTCGTAGTGACTCGAAACTCTTTGGGTTCGTATACATGGGGACCGGAATCTAAGAAATGACGAGCAATGGTAATAGATTATAGTTTCCTTCAGCGAAGACCAAGGTGTTTCGGAATATGTTCACACATTCTGGTCCTTCCAAAGTATCGCTGACCGCAGGTACACTGAAATGCATACATACAGTGTGAGGTAACACTTACGTCTTCTCGATCCAGATTAGTACGAGTGAAATAACGAAACATCCCATAGGGAATCATTAGCCATGCGTCACTGTACGTTCTTTCTACGCCTTGTGTTCCATTTCTTTCGCTCATCCTAGATGACTTACTCTCTCCCTTTTTGTAGATATGAAATAATCATTACCATCTGCTTCCAATTTAATTTCGCTATCTCCAAACGACAGTCTGTTTAAATCAATATTAGCATAAAATACCAACATCACCGCTATGATCAACAACACCAACCACAGAAACAATAACAACAAGCACTGCTAGTAACGCTTTGTTTCCATATCTTTTTTGGTTTCATATGAGCAAAACGAAAACCATCGGTGCAACGAGCAACCAGTTTCCGTTTCTATTAGTTATCACGGAAACGCAAATGTGATATGTATCATGCTGCAAAAACGCGGTTACTTGGTACCTGTGTTTAGCTATTGCTTACACACGCACACACACAAACATAGACACGCACGGCGCACTAATTATCCTAAAGCAAAAAGATAGCTTTATTCACAAAGATATTTCTCGGGACAACTTTCCAAAGCAGATCACATCGTGTCCCATAAATTTACTCAAATGACAGTGCAGACGATTTTTCTTGTCAGGGGTGAAGGAACTAGCAACAAAGATTGAACGAACGTTTTGTAATTTGGGCCGTTTATTGTGTAGGTTATTTTTACTACAGACAAACAAAACTGAATTGCTTAACTGGACGTTTGTCGATTGAAACTTTATGTTTAAGGTATCCTAAAAATATCTACATCAAGAGTGAATCAATGCCCATTAGCTTAGATCATTTTTGTGGTATATTATTTAAAAAGATTTTCGGGCTCTCTCAGATTGAAGCGTTGTATTTAGCCTTGGTGACGATTTAAACTGGGGCCATGAGAACAACGAAATAACCGTGAATCGCAGACTTGTCCGCTTACAGTTTCAATTCGCTCAGAAGCAGAATCTTATGCTTTGGTGAAAATAGTAATCAAGAAAGAAACCTTCGTTCAGCACTCTTTATTGATCATTAAGCTGAAATTTGGGAAGATGCGACTATAATAATTTTACATTGAGAACCAGTTCATTAAACAGCAAAGTGTGTCCCCATTTCTTGAGACTGTTCATCACTGCTAAAGTGTTTGTGCCCTTCATATAAGAAGAGTTGCCACTTATTCTTTATCCATACGTGCGCATCTTTCATAATTTTGGAGATAGGATTCAAAAAGCAGTTGATTTTCCGCAATAAAAACAAACTAACCACATCTGACTCAACTGATATAAAGCTATATGTAATTAGTGTGCGTACTATTTACAATTTCAAAAGTAACGACGTGTTCGTGATTTGGTTCCGTGTGAGCTTTACTACTGCATTGATAAGTAATTGAACAGTACAATGACCAACAATAAGGACCCGAACAGCTGTTGTTGTTATTATTAGCACACCTCAACAGTTTTATCCACTCGTTTGCCTCCTCAGCATTATTGGAATACGACATTCTTTCCTTCTCTGCTGTCTAGGAATACATTAACATGTGAGTACAAAAGTGCTGCTACACAATTCGCGTGAATATTTTTACCATTGAACATGGTACATTATAGATAGAAAGACAAGCCCATAATTGGATTTCATGATGTGGAATTTGCACCCAGTTTCGAGACAGCTATACATCAAGAGTGATTCAAACATTCCGTAGTTTAATATGGACTACTGGATACAAGAGTGTCATCAGATTTCGCGGACCATTGTAGATACTTTTTGAGTTTGCCGTAGATTTTTTATTGTATTTTAATTATTGTTCCAATCTCCTTTCATTTTTGGTGTAGCTGGTTCAAACCGCTGTGCAGAAGATTAAACAATAACTGGATATGTCTAGGCAGCGCACTGAGCCACATATCAAAATGCTTTTATACTAGGTCGAAAATAATTTTGGGGCTTCTGTTAAAATGAGCAGTTACCGGTACAACAATAATCTGGCCACTTGCATTGTCGTTTGATATAAACGTCGCATTAAACATTGACTTGTGAACGGTACAGTGAGCTTTCGCAGTCCAATATTGTCATTTATTAATTTATATACATTTGGACAAATATCCCTTGCCGTCCATTTACTGGTCGCTGGATAAAACCCGGGGGGAAGTTGTGTCAATATTCGTACCGCACAGTGGGGCAGCCACTTCGATTGAAATTCAATAAAACGGTAGATACTGAGAACAGTGAAAGCGAGATTTCATGATAAATCGTTCAGAATAATTTTCATAAAATATTAAATCTTGTGAGACATTCAATTTGGCATGTGGAGAAGAAGCCTGAATTCGAAAAGTGTGCAAATGCAAACAGGAATATATTTGAACATTGTGAATATTGATGACCACTTAATTTCAATACTTTGTAGCCTTCCATAGTGAAGCAATTATAGAAAAGAGAAGATTATACTTGGTTAACTGACAAACATAGGTACTAAAATAATTTTCAACTTTACTTTGTTTTGTTAATCTCACAAATTATGCGTGTGATTGAGAGAAATATACGGAAATCGCACATCAGAGATTGAAAACACAAAACTGCTTGTGCAGGCCGTGCATCATTGGTAACGTGTGCCTCGGGAGGGAGCCCACAATAGTAGAAACAGTAGGACCATGGGAGATTACTGGATCTGCTGATATTTCACCAAATAATAACACATTACACTGTTGGGAAGTGGTGATCGAGTGGTAAGGTCGTCGAAATGGTCACATGAGTGTCATGAGTTCAAAGCCCATATTTGAATTCGATTCTACAAAAGACTGCCGAAATCTAATGATCATTTCACTGCCGCGCACAGGAATTTGAAGTTTATGCTTGAAATTGAGGCTGGAAATCAACCAGCATATTTAGCTGTTTACATAACTCGTTGTGATAACGGGTCCATCAGGCGAGCAGTACACAGAAAGGAGACTTGGAATGGACAGAACATTCATTTCCGTAGCATTGTATCACTCAGCATGAAAAAGAATCTCATAATCTGGCCAACAGAGCTGGAAGAATTTGCACAAAGGACATGCTGAAGAATTCCAAAATATGTGGAATATCTTAATCCAAAATGGATCCCAGGAGCGCTTGGTGGAATCTGTGTTGCAACGACGAGAGGCGTTTCCCACGAGGGTATTTGCTGAGAAGAAGTCTATGTACATTTCTTTAACATTTAAAGGCGACTCTTCGGCAGAGATTGTGCACTGAAGGTTATAAATGCCATCAAGAAAACGTTCTACGCGACTAAGCTTCAAATTCGATTCACATCTAGCCCGATGGTGCATCCACGGTTGAAGGATAGAGTGCCCAATCGTGTTGCATTCTTCTGTATTTACTTTTTCACTTGATCCTGTGAAAACGCACGACCAGCCGTCTGTCTATGCGCATTTATGAGCATCATCCTGCATGGTTACGAAGTGGAGTAATTAAGTCAATCACAAGTGCTGTCGTGTTGCACCTTGTGGACACCAATCACATTTTAAACGTGACCAAAGCGTTCCGAAGTCTGTACAGAGTTAAAACGGGACGGTCTAGACACGTGCGGTTTCACATTCTAGCCAAATCGGAGGTAGTTATTACCCGTCTTTACAACTCCCCTCTCTGGGCTCAGAAACAATTTGTGCAAGCACTCAGGCTCCCATGGCCGGATTGCCGACAAGTGACCTGCCATGAAACATCCAAGCCAATGATGATTGGAGACCAATTATCACGCAAATTGTTGAATACTTTATTAACTGGCCCTTTTTCCCTTGTATATTATTCTCTATTACTATTCATATTTATTGTGTTGTAATGGAATGATTAAGACACACTGAAAACGAGCTTTTTTACCAATTTGTGTTCTCAACTTAGTATTTATCATGCTCATCAATGCATATCCATGGTAACATCTTGTTGACCCTGATCGCTATTTCTCCTCTTTACACCCTCTTTTTTTAACGCTCCATCACATCTTGAATTATCTTCAGGCGAAAATCGATATCGGGCAACTGGAAATCCAATACTGGTTCTGCCATCTTGGAAAAAGTTCCCATCACTGAAAGGTTTGTAACTCAGGCTCTTTTGATTAACTTGAAATGGAAAACTTTTTTTTTTAAATAACATAAAATGGTGCGCCCAAGTTACTACATTTCACGTTTCATTTAGCTGTATAAGATACCGGTGGCTGTGTTCAAAAACGTGCACACAAAAAGGATTTAAACCGCATGAGCTTAAAGCTTATCTAGCACTGCACACTGAAGCAGAAGTATGGGTGTGTGGTTGTTTCTAACTCCTGCCATACCCGTAAACAGGAACAAATTTCAGCGGAAAATTAATTAATGGACATGCCTCATTCAGCTTTATGGATTTATCTGTACATATGGAGCTCAGTGAAAATAGAAACCAATAGCTTGGTAATTCTGAGTTAACTTTTAAAAACAGGCTTATCCGATGATGGTACATATGCTATCTTATCGCCAGTTTTTATCCAATGGACTTAACTTTCACCTCAGTATAATAGATTTCCTTTCCAAGGTAGTCTTCCCATAAAGCAAGCGTTGGTATCACAATTTTCCTTATTCTTTATTACAGACAAAATTCAAATTGTCAGTCATGTACCTAATGAAATTCGTTATGGTACAGTCAAGTGCCAATTAGGGGATCAATGAGCGGGTAAACTTAATGAACTCGGTTTTAGAGTTACCGTTTCTTGATTTTTAACTACATTTATGATATTGCGCATCTGAAGCTGCGCAATTCCCTCAACAAACTGGATACGAGTCGTTCCTCAATAATTTACAGCCAGCGCCGAACAACAATAATTATTTTCTTCTTATTCACATGCTTTTTATCTTCGTCATCTTATTTAGTCACTAATTTGTAAGTTAAAATAGTGTAGTCATAAATTACTAAAAAAGAGAAAACTGTTTTGAATTGCATATTCTACAATCTGTGCTGGTGAAGACAGGGATCAAACTCGCTAAGCAACTGCAATCGGAAGTGTTACTGACAATTTTATTGGTACGCTATTTCCAGACGGAAATTAAATGTTGGATGTCAAAAGTGTCCTAACCAAAATGTGGGCGTAATTGCATTTCCCCATGTGAATTTTTATTTGGGAGTGACTTTATTTTAAGTTCTGTCTTCGCACTAAATGTTTTTGCATCGGCCAGCAATTCACTGTTCTATCGGTATTGTCACGCTGTCAATCGAAGTGACTAGGATTGTTTGCAAAGTTGGATTTTGATTACCTTGGGAATCACGTGAAGTGACCATTTTTGGTTCATTTTTTCAAAAGTCATTGATTAATTCTATGGATAGAATGAAGAGTTACGGTAATAATGAGTGTTCGCAATTGACCTTTCAGGTTCATACACAGAGTTAAACATCAACTCGTTATTCTTAACTTCATATAGTACGGTATACCGTCAATGCTTTTTATTGTAACCTTTGACCAAATGATTTAAAATGCATCGAAATTAGGTACAAGCTTGTTTATTGTCGAGAAGTGAAAAATATCACCCACAGATGGTTATAGCAGTAGTTTTGATTGCATCAGTTTCAAACGTTTATTACTCTAGGGGATACTAAACTCCTATATTAAAACTGTAATGACTGTTATTGACTTATTGCCTCAGTAAACCTGACACTCACTGATTTTTGAATAAGTGCTGTGCGTGGGTTCAGTTAGAGTTAAAGATTTTCATTACTACTTATAGTGTAATTCCAGTCTGGTAACCAGTTTCTGTATTTTCTAACACACTTTACGTGATGCGTAATATGATATTCTGTTCTTCAAAGTACTGGCGTCCGCGTTAGGCACCTTGGCAATTCCGGTAGATTGTAGCACGTAAAAGTCAGCTCCTGAAATTCACAAAGATTTTTTTGTGCCTTTTGTTTCTTCCGTGACGCATAACCGTTTGGATTACCACAAATAATCCAGGAATCCTCTTTTTATCTGTGAATTGTGTGGCATAAGCATTTATGCACGCCGTTGAACCTATGTGCATCTGTTTACTTCTTTTCTGGTATCATTCAACTAGTTAAGCTTATATTGGAAGTCATCTTGGGGTCGTGCTTTTTGAACTCACGAACGCGGTCCAACTCCCGCAAATCTGTATTTGCTTAGGGTTTAATGGTTCCTTAAATATCTATCACGCGGGCATAAAATGCCTGCATTATTCAGGCGTAATGGGTACGCTTTGTTAAACCAATAATAACGCTATGAAATTTGTTCCTTTGTGTATGACAAAGAATTGATTTTAACAGCGGTCATGTGGCTCATTCAACTCCTGACTAGTATATGTCTACACTTTTTAACCAGAGTTAAGAAGACGCGCACAAAGTATTTTTATACTCCAGTAATAGTATCCAAAAGAAAAATGGATTTCGCTAACTGAAATTTCGAAAATGTATCTGCTTGTTTCTTTAAACCTAAACTGTAAGTGTATTTCTCTGACGTCTACTGATTCCGAATTGTCATTATTTTAACAATGCATGCCGAATTTAGGTTCAAACAATGGATCGATGAAATATCTCACATGTTTGGTGGTTTGGACATCTGTTCAGTGGAAGTCTTGCAAAACAAAGCTGGAGAATACTTTATTTATGATGTAAGTTACCGCTTTCTTTGAACTTGTCAGTTTTGTTCCATATATCTCTGATACAGTGACAAGAATCAAAAGATATACCTGAATGTCTTAATGTATGCTCTACTGTAATATGATTCCAAGCAATCAAAATGCAATTAGCTATTTGCATCAAACGACGACTAATGGGGAAGTAGTTTCAAATCATAGTGAACAGCTTACATTTAGCAATGACGACAAGCACTAAAAATCAACATTTTGATCGCCAAGACATTAAAATTTGAAGCATTTCAGTGTCACCGGTTAATTTCTCATATTTCTCTATCTGTTGATAGCTTCAACAATGCGTAACGATGGTTTACAAATAAACGTACGTGAAACCACTTTTATGTATTTTAAACCAACTTTGTGTTCTTCGCTTTTCAAGGAAGGCAGTAAACGATAAATAATATACATCAAAACACAGTATAGTTGATTCCAAAATATTTTCTGGCCAGAATACAAGTGTTCAATGGTGAAATAATGTTTTGCAATAAACATTATTGTTTTTGGTATATAGCCATATTAAACTCAAATTTATTTGTGTGGAGTCGAAATAACCAAAATAAATTTAAAAATTACAGTTGAAAATTTCCTTTTTCAAGTGAAGTCAAATAAGTAGTAGTAGCTTTGTGCACCCCGGAGGGTAAATTTTCGGTATTTACATCATATTCGTGGATGTATATTTGCAAAACCCTACATAGTGAAATTGAAGCAGTAGATGGTGTTTGTTAATGAAGCGAGCAATTGCGCAATTTTGTGGAAATTGTCTTCTTGTCAATAAGTAGACGTTCTAGATATTGCAAAACAAATTTACGATGAGAAGAGGTATGTGCAAATAAAAGTTTAAATCTTGAGCCTGTGGATGATGTAGATACAGCTTTGAAAATTCGTTGTGTAATAGGCAGTGAGTGTCTGAGGGTATTTTGGCAGTGAAATGTTCACATGCTTTTAAGTGGCTGTCTGTGATAGACTCCACGATTTTATCCCTGACAATGTCACTACGTTTAGAGACATGTTTCAGTTATTTCGCCAGTAAATACAAGTTTTTCTTCAACACACCGGGAAGATCACTGGGGATGAATAAAAGCCGTGGGGGAGCACGCATGCTTCCACAAACCAAACAGGAAGCTTGTGCAGGACAGAAAGTATTCTTAATCGGAGTGAGAAATATGAAAGCTTTCTAATTTTACAAAAATAGGTTTTGAAAATGTAGTGCCCATGATTAATTGTGCAATAATGTGATATCACGGTATTTATCCATCGTTGATTTCGGTACGGGTTCATGTTTAGCAGAGAGGGTGGGAAATCAATGTACGAGGGCTGGATGTGGTACATCGGACAAGAGGGAAAACACAATATCCCGACATTTAAAGGAAGAGAAACGGGACAAGGACCAAGTAACAACTTTGTTTAGCCTGCTTTGAATTTCTAAAGCCTCTTAAGGTGGATCTGTTGCACCCTCTAACAACTTCATCTGCAGGAAATGGGAAAGATTTTGACATACATTGAAAAGAAAAATGGGGAAACATTAGACCACACAGAACATCAGAGCAACCGGGCAAATGGAGAATTTTTGTCGTCGAGGCACGTAAACTGCCTTCTATTTGTGAAACAACCGCGGATCAATCTGCTAACGTTTGAACTAACACCACTTTCGGTAATCAAGTTGACCAATACCGATCGATCAAGACTGTTTTGTAGTCTGAGAACACCATTCTGACTGTCTTACCTTTTTTATCTAGTGCCTAAATTATTGAATGAACAACGTATGCAGCTGCATTAAATGCTGAACGCGAAGAACCATATGCAAATCGATGTATATCGTCTTCGGTATACTCAGTGGAAACCCATGGTATCAAAGCATCTTTCAAATTATTTGAGCATAACTGACGTGCAGGAGATGGGATGATGCTTCCAATGTTCCTTCTTGGAACAGGAGTTATTTTGGCTAGTTTCCAAGTATCAGGAATTTTTCCGCTTATCAGACAGTAATGGAATATTTTAGACAATGGGGCTGCAAGAGTGTCCGCACACACTTTGAGTACCACGGGCGATAGTTCATTCGGACCAGATGCTTTATGCATCAATGTTTTCAGTAGCTGTTGGAGGACCATGGCGGGTTCGATAGTTGGTGTTGGCGTAGAGCTGACTAAGTGTGACAAGGTAGTGCGCTGTGAAACTGGCCTTAACTCTGAATTTAATCTTTCAACGTCGACAACCTCCCTTTTGTGTATATAGGTACTGCCACACAGTCGGTTGATATCTCTCCACATGCCACGACAACTAGAGTTTCCCAGAATAGTGTCGATGTACAATTTGTTCAACCGATTTATTTCAGTCTTGGATACAATTGCAAGCCGCTTGACATGGGTTCCTTTCCGTGTTTATAAGCCTGTTCTTTCTTCCTGCATAGCTGCTTGAGTAGCGGTGATGAATGTCTGTCTTTATGGATGGAGACCGTTGCAAGTGGACAACACCGGTTAAAACAAAAATTAGAGTAGTCCGTAACACGGTTATCAGAGGACAAAATGGTTCCGATTGAGAAACACCGAAAAACCGTGGGGGCATTCAGGGATCTTAGTCTTTCTATGTTCTCCGATGAACAATTTATTTGATTCACTATCTTGGAGGGCTTTCTCGAAAATCTGTATTTACTTTCTTTTTTGCATACAGTGGGACATAATTCTAAGATAAAATGATCTGAATTGCTTAGAGGATCACGTTTCTGGACTTCGAAAAATTGCGGTCTGTTTGAAAAAATGAAATCCAGTTGTGAATTGAGTCTGGTGGGAACATGTACGAAACTTTGCAGATCCAGTAGGATGAAGAAACCTAAAATGCTGTTAAAATCACCAACAATTAAACATAAACTGTCACTTGTTTTTGATGTCACAGAGGTATAAAAAATGTCAGAAAAGCTATTTGTATCAACCACTGATATTAGGGGTGATGGGTAAACGGTTCCAAGACGTATGTAACGAAACCCACCTAAAAACGAGGTTTACATTTAATGACTTGGCAACTGAATTTATCCTTTGAGTATTCGTAGATGACGGCGGTTGATTTAATCCCGTTTTTGATAACGCAACTTGCAACATCGCCTCTTTTACGAACACTCGAGAGATGATCAACTTGATACAAGTTATATCCACCAACTTTTGCAATTTCACTGGGGATTTCTTCGTGCAGCCAAGACTACTGTAGCACAAGACTCCCTAGATTTTTGTACTCCTTTTTCCACGTGATGCCTGCTACCTCCTCGACTCTTCCCAATAGAGAACTAATATTACTTTTTAAAATGAGAGGAATTTGCATTTGACTAGTATGCACTGTCTGAGACTGACTTGCCAACCTGCGCGGTGTTTTCTCCAATTGTCGCCTAATGTTTTGATAATTCGCTTGAACTTATTTCTCACAATGTTGGGATATTTCACAAAAAGTGCAGTTCTCGCAATACAACATAAATATTTCATAAACGTGCTCGTGTGGGATGGCATTTGGTATCCTTGGAATTGATAACGATGCGATTTGATGTCGAATAAATCCACAAAATGATGTAAATGTAATTTTTCGAGCTAAGTAGCGTGGTCAGATTCAGAGGCCTTGCTCCTTTCTTTCAACCCTGATAATTTTCAGAGTTTTGCATACCATATTTATATAAGTTTGCACAAAATGGTGATAAAACGAGGATTCTCACCTCAGAAATCCTTTTGAACACTTTATATCCCGAAGGACAGCGAAAAATTCCAAAAACGTACAACCTTTACATAGGTATAGAAAATAAATCTAGACGTGTTACGGGAAGATGCAAGCTTAATGTATGAGTTACAATCGGGACCATTTCCATTATGAATCGTTTTATTTCAGGCTAATGGATCGGACATGTGCTTATTCGGGGACAGCCAAGAAGACGACCGACGTGAAATCGCGGAGCTGGTGGTACAACGAATGCAGACTGTATGCCAGCAGAGCGCACTGTAAGTTTGACGGAGTTCAGTCTGTTATGATTATGGAGTTGAACAGTAATATCATATTTTACCAATTCAAGCAACACGATGTTTTTTTTCATTTTTACTTACTTTCATTGAATACACAATCATGCAATTTTCAGCAAGGACCTTCATACAACATACAGAGAATGGGGGAAGTCAGGCGGTGGTGGTGTGAATCAAGCACACTTCCTCCGTGGTGATAATTTGGTGACGTTACCACCAGGCCACCACCGTCTGCTAGTGGACATTTTCTAGATTTGTCATGATTAAGAAACCTCATTCTCAAAATACAATTAAGCAGCTGACAGGTCTGTTCAATTTTAGCATTATTTGAATCCCAACCGTATTTATCAATAAAAATATAAGATGATATCCTTCAGGAATTCAATAACCTTAACTAATTCAGTGTCATATGCTTCGTGCATCAGATATTCATGATGACATTTGTAGATAAAGGAATTGAGGTCGCGCAGCGCACATGGGTTTGTCCGTTAGCTGTGTTATTCTCTGCCTGATCGAACGGCGTCATTCATCTGTTAGGCGCTTTGATAATTGCCTTCTCGTTTGATCCGGATTACCGACAGAACGGGACAATTGAATCACAGAATTGTAAACGAGCTTCATGTTCATTTTGACATGAGAATATAGGAACAATAAATATTTTACTGTTCGATTTTATTATAATCTGAATAAAAATTACATTTCGGTGCTTTTAGACTTGAGGTTTCCTTTGAGAAAAAACTCAACGACGGTTGATCCGAGAGCAAAATGATAGAAGACGAATATGCCCACAACAAAAGTAAAGCCCAGTTAATCAGCTGAAATTTAGTATAGCAACATAGGCTTAGCTGGGTATTCAATAAATTCCATAGAAATGTATTCTAAAAGAAGTTATACCTACATGAGCTCAGGCATTTTAGTGTAATCGGTAGTCATATACATGTGAGAATGTTCGTAAAAGGCATCCTGATGAACAGGAATCGTGCCCACCACTTACTTAATTAACCACTAGCCTCATAATACACTTTGGGTAGCACGTAACTACATCAGGGTTAGAGTTGCACCATCGAGGAAAATGAGCAAGTACTACAAGGGATTTAACTTTGCTTTTGATTCCAGTTTGGTCTCTGAAGCTGATTTATTCTCAGTTCAGTGAAACTCCTCCAAAAAAATATCTGGTCCGAGTTGTTTCAAATTCTGCGTGCAATGTTCTCTGTTCGGTCCATTGCAGTTTTCTGTAAAGACTGACATCGGCTGCATGCACGCTTCAAACATTCAATATACTGGACATATTCTCTTTTCAACAGATTTGAATATGGGTGTGATTTGTAGCTCAGGTTGATGGTTTGTGGGGTCTTATGTTGGCTGAGCTTGGCGTTTAGATCGCAAACATTTCATCACCAGCCGAAGTGACGTCGTCAGTGCGTCGGTAATGATCCCTGTACTTGTCTTTATTTATAG